ACACACACACACACACACACACACACACACACACTCTCTCTTCTCTTTCACTCGCTCTCTCTCTGCATGTGTGTGTGTAGTTGTGTGTGTGTGTGTGTGCGTGTGGGAGTTCAGTTTTTTTTTGGTTTTTGCTCGGAGAGAAAACAGTAACGGCGTCGGATCAGCAATCCCTTTGTTTATTTTATTGTATTTGAACCTAGTTTGAAAAAAAGCCATCACTAAATAATTCAAGCTTAGCGTTGCTAGCTCTGTTGTTTGAGCTGGGCCATTGTGGAATTGGTTGTCCCAGAAACATGAGCCAAACGGGAATCTGGCGTAGAGCTGGGCGAAGACTCGAGTCTGGAACCGATTCCCACGATTAGCTACGGATGAAAAGTCCCGACTCCTTTTAACGCAAACCAGTGGTTAAATTTTTTAGAATTTATTTTTTATTTTAAAAAGTTGGTGCCTCACAGTGTTCCGAAATCAAGGTTGTCCTAAATCCTGAAGATGTTCGGGGCCAACCAGTTAACCACTGGAAGAAATCACATGAATTGGGATCGGAGTCGATTCCTACGATTCCTAGCTTTCAATATTTGGGAACCTAGCCGCCTAGCTCTAGTATCTGGAGTAAAGGGTATTCGGTTTAAACAGGGTAGAGTGGGCGTAGAGAAAGGATGTTTAGAGACGTATCAATCCTAATAGCTACATGACTAAATTTTGTAATGAAGCAGCAGGGAACAATTTCATCTTTTGTCGTCAAATGAACAACACAACAATAGCATCATGAAAAACGAAGAAGCGAACAAACAAACAAACAAACAAATAAATAAATAAATAAACAAGCACACTGTAATATAATATAGTACAAAACAGATTTTTACAAAAAAAACTTAACGCCACATCGTATATCATTATGAAAGAAAAGCATAGAAACATTCACACACAAATATACTCTTGCACACACACTTGCACACCCACCCACACACACACAAACACACACACTTAAAAACACAATTAAACACACACACACACACACACACACACACACACACACACACGCACACGTTCATGGGTACACACGCCTTCCCGAGGAATGCACACATACACAAACATTAACACATATTCACACACACTCACTTTAGTAGTAGTAGTATAGGGTTTTACGGCGCTCGCAACTGCGTACGGTCATATGCGCGCGCGTCACTCACTTTGAAATATATACACGCTTTACATAATATAGATACAAACGTGCCCAGAGCGATTCTCCTGACTAATGAAGAAAGGTTATAAAATAGATAGCTTTTATGCAGCTCAAATGCCCACATAACAGCAAGCTCTCTGCGTTTTACAAACTATATTATCACCCCTACAGACCTGACAGCATTTTCAAACGATCTCAACGTTCTCAGAAGCATACAGTACAAGCTGCCATTTTACAACCCCGCAAAACCCACAATCTCAAGGTTACAAGTTCGGTAGCCTAACCCACAAGACTAACTAAGGAAAAAAACAATTAGTTTTTTTGTAATAAATAAATTTGAAAAAATAGAAAACCTGACCCCAATCCTACAAAATCTGCATTGGTTACCCTTACTCAAACGTATTTAAAAGATCCACAACAGCTGTCTCTGATGTTTCAAATTCCACTACGTGTTAGCACCACCTTATATCTCAAGTGGTATTTATAATTTCATTAAAAATAATACATTAAAAATTAATGATACTACTACTGCTGCTGCTG